CTTTTCAAGTGATCCATGAGATTGATGTGTCTCTATTGCCCATGTTCTTGTTTTCAGAGGACTGAAAAGTATGCAGTGCGTGACTTCTGGGGCAAATTTGGCCCGTCTCCTGCGCTGAGCTGTCTTTTGGTCCAAACTGCACTGAAGAAGTGCTGTATATATTCCTTGTCCTGGATGCATTCCCCTTTGCTGTGATAAAACATTCTCACAAAAGCAGCTTAAGGGAGAAGGGATTTATTCAGCTTACAGTTCCAGGTTGCAGTCTGTAATTGTGGGGAAGTCAAGGCAGGCACCTGAACCAGCTTGTCTCACTCATAATTAGGAGCACAGTGAGAATGAATGAACGCTTTCCTATTCCTCAGCTTACTTTCTTTACTTTTATACAGTCCAGAACCCAGCCCAGGGAAAGGTGCCATCCACAATGTGCTGGGTCATCCTAGTCAATTGATGTAATCAAGACTATTTCCAGGGCTGGAGAGATGGCTCAGAGGTTAAGAGCACTGCTTGTTCTTCCAAAGATCCTGAGTTCAATTCCCAGCAACCACATGGTGGCTCACAACCATCTGTAATGAGATCTGTTGCCCTCTTCTGGTCTGTGGGTGTACATGCACACAGAACACTGTATACATAATAAAATAAATAAATCTTAAAAAAAAAAAAAAAAAAGACTATCTCCCAGAGACCAACATGATCCAGACACTCCCTCATTGAGATGCTCTGTTTGCAGGTGATTCTATATTGTGCCAAGCTGACAATTAAAATTAAGCATCACAGTGCCAGGTGGTAGTGGCACACACCTTTAATCTCAGCACTCAGGAGGCAGAAGCAGGTAGATCTCTGTGAGTTCAAGGCCAGCCTGGTCTACAGAGCTAGTTCTAGGACAGCCAGGGCTACACAAAGAAACCTTGTCTCAAAAAAAAAAAACCCATAAAATAAAATAATTAGGCATCACATCCAGGTGTGGTGTTACATGCCTTTAAACCCAGCAGGTAGAGGTAGAGACAGGTGGGTCCCTGTGGGTTTGAGGCCAGCCTGGATTACATAGCAAGTTCCAGGCTGGCCAGGGCTACATAATGAGACTTCATCTCAAAAAAAGAAAAAAGTAGAGAAAGAAAGACAGATGAAGACTAACCATCACATTCCACAATAACTGAAACCAGAAAGAAAGCCACAAAACCAAATTACCAAATTGCCTAATACCCTGCCATTGTCCTCACAGAAGCCAGCGCTCAGTACATAGGCCTGGAGAAGAGAAAGAGTGGTATCCTGCTGCTCATCCTGGTGTCCTTCCTCATCTTCATCCTCTTCATCATTGTTCAGCTCTTCATCATGAAGCTCCGTAAAGCACACATGATCTGGAAGAAGGGTGAGTGGGCAGAGAACCCGGTGAGGTCCCTAAGAGTCCGACAGCTAACTGGAGAAAAGGGAGAGCCTGTCAATCAATGCTCCTCTCTTAGCTGCTGTGCAAGCTGACCAATAAGGGTGTCACTCATTTGCTTTCTAGCAAACGTAGGCTATGGATCTCCAGGGAGCATGCTCAAAGAGAAAGAGGCTAAAGTAGCTTTGGGAGTTGGGGCTGAACTGTAGATGCTCTTGTCGATAAAACACTGAGCCGATTCATCTGTTCACTCAGCGAGCCTTCACTGAGTGCCCACTGCAGGCCAGGGGACCGTTCCCTGTGCTGGGGCCATGTGAGTCTACAGGATGGGAGATCCCTGGTCTCCTTATCTTCTAGTTATGGATAAAGGTCATGCTCTAGTTATGGGTAAATGTCTGATGCCTTTCATATTTTGCAAGAATGTGCTGGGTTCCACTCATCAATAAGACATCAGCCGTTTTCCCCAAGTATTCTAATGAAAGAGTTACCATTACACCGAAACAATAACAATCATAATAATACTGTAGAAATAAATCAAAATAAAAGTATCTAGTATAGAAGAGCCCTATTAAAATGCATATACTCAACACGTAACAGAGCTTGACGGGGCCTTAGAAGTTATTCAGAATAATTCCATAAACGTATGTAGGATTAAAGGCCCTCTTCATGAGGGTGTGAAGACTGTAAAAGCTGACGAATGGAGAGGAGCACCATGAAATGCTGTCTTTCTGCATGTGCCATGGCTATTGGCATCATGAACACACAGCACCTGTATAGGAGCTGCAAACACACAAAAAGACATGATGATGGGGGACTAGCTGGGGGAAATGTGACGGTCAGCAGGACTAGGAAGAAGCATGAGAACGGGTAAAGGGGTAAGTACCATCACAATACATCATACACAAACCAGAACCTTAAAAACTAACTTCAAAGAAACTCTCTCTTCAGTGTCAACCAATTGTCTAGCCCTGCGCCGTCCATTGCAGCAGCCACAAGATGACTGTCTAGCCCCTGACATGTCCTGAGTCTCTACCAAGATGAGCTATAAAGATAAACTACCCAATTTTGAAAAATCAATCCACACACTCAGACTCGAACATAATATGGTATTTGGGGTATATCAGCTAACTAAAATGTATTGTGAAATCCCGCCCCCTTTTTTTGACTCTATCTGCTAAAGTATTTTAAGTAACTTGGGTTATCGTGCTGCTGGACAAAGCTGATCTAGTCACATACGGCCCAAGGCCTCTGGTGACAGAAAATTCTTTATACCAACTCAAGATGCTGCATCTTTGAATATCTCTGCCTTAAAAGCAGCACTCTTGACAGCTTAGTATGAGCTTATCTAGACAGATGATATAATAACTCATTATGGATAGACCCAAAGGGGTGACTAAGAGAGGGCAATGAGGGGAAGATGAATAGCATGTGCTTTCTTCCATATGCAGAAAATACATCTGACATGAACGCAGAAGGAGGTGTAGAGAGAAACAGTGGAAGGGAAAGAGATCTGAGGGGGGTGATGGAGTGATGGTGATGGAGTAAGATATATATATATATCTTAGTTACTTTTCATATTGCTCTGAAGAGCTACCATGACCAAGGCAACGTATAGAAGGAGGCATTTAACTGGGGACTTGCTTACAGGATCAAAGTGTGAGTCCATTATCATAGTGGGGCGTGTGGCATGCAGGCCAGCATGGTGCTGGAGAAGTAGCTGAGAGTTCTACATCCTGATTTGCAGGTAGAGATAGAGAGACTGGGCCTGGTGTGAGCTTCTGATGCCTCAAAGCCCACACCCAGTAACACCTCCCCCAACAAGGACATCCTAATGCTTCTCAAATAGGCCCACACCCTGATGACTAAGCATTCAAGTATATGCACTTATGCAGGTCATTCTTATTCAAACACCACAATAATGCATGAAAGTGTCATAATGAAAGCCCAACATTTTGTATGGTAACTAAATCAAGGAAAAGGTAATTTGACCATTATATATATATATTACACACACACACACACATATATATATATATATATATATATATATATATATATATATATATATATATATATATATCTCCAGAGACAGGGTCTGACGTTTCATTTGTGCAGTAGGTAAATGACACAGTTTTATTTCAGAGTCTCCCATTAAGGACTGGCCACCATCATTCTGTTAGGGCTGTTGCAGCTGTTCCTTTCTGAAGGACAATGCTTGCTTCTCTTCTGCTGTCATCTTGACCTCATCTCCTGCGGTGCCCCTGGGAACCCTGAAAACGCTCTAAGAGGGCACACTGAGCTAACGAATGCACGAGGCACGGGAAATCATGACAGTTCAACAGTGGCCAGGCTGTCGCCTTCTTCGAGCATCCATTTCTAACGATGCCTGCAATGTCAGAAATTAGTAATGCAATTCTCTTTTCTTACAGAGAGTGAAATTTCAGAGCAAACTCTAGAAAGTTACAGGTCAAGATCCAACAATGAGGAAACATCTTCCCAAGAGAATAAGAGCCAGAGTAAGTCAATGTGTGGCCTGACACTGGAACAGCGAGGGTCATCCGGGAGTCGCCTAGGGAAAGTGGGGAGGGGACAGAATCGAAGTTTGATTTGACATGACAGATTTTCATTTGATTTATAGTACTTAAGGAAGTTCATCTTTCAAAATTAAATGGTAGTTAAACTCATGTAGTAGAAAGTCCTCTACTTTAGAAAGGCCGGCTCTGACGTCGTTGTCGCCCTCAGGGGCCCTGTGTGGCCTGAGCTGCTGCACAGCATCCTACACAAACCCTCGGTCAGTGTGAAGCCCTTTCCACCCCCACCCTACGCTTATTCCGTTAGTCAGTACACAACCAAGTTCATTCTGCATCCTGGAAGTCTGTCACGGAGCCTGGCTCACATGGAGTGTCTGGGAAATTTTCATTGACCAAATGAACTCAAGGCTTAATCAATCCAAAGAGAAATATTTGGGGTCTTTTGGATGACTTCATTGCAATACTTTAAGCAAAATAATGGTGGAAAAGACCCTTAAAGGGGAAGGAGAATGTCTGGGTGTGGATGGGTGGATGGGAGTATGGGTCTGCACGTGCACACATGTGTATTCCTGATTTAAAAAAAAAAATCTAGTAGGCAGAAGCCAGGCAGATCAATAGCACAGCAGGGATTTTATACCTGCTCCCTGCCGTATGTCCTCCATGCAAATTTATTTATTCTACCTGCCAAGGGTTTAGAGAAATGTACTGAGCTTTGCTGCTTGGTCCTGTCTGTTTGATCAAGAGTTTTTGTGGGAGCTGGTCTCTTAAAACACCTGTGCCTTTTTGTTTCGGTTTGACCCTCCAAGGTGTGACATTGAGAGAATAGTCTTTTGTAGGGAAAGAGACACAGTGGCCAGATGATGGGGAAGTGTGAGGAAACAACCCAGCGGCTAGGGGGCTGTGAAACACAGGTGACTGGCATTGGAATTGGTGTGATTTGTGTAGATGCCTGTGGTGTTTTTCCTGGGCTATGGGAAGGTAAAACAGCTGAGGAGAATTGTGAGCTTTAGCAGAGAAAGGAAAGCACTCACCCTAGGTGCTGAACGAGCAAGCGTCCTCACGGTTCGGTTTTAAAGAAATGGAGTGGACGGCTGCACTCAGGACTCCCTGTGCAGATGGCGACCCCGGGAGCGCTCCATCTTCATAGGCCAGAAGGATTTCTTCCTGGGCCCAGATCTCCATTTTCTTCCTGTGTTAGTCAAGTTTGGTTCGCTTTTTTCACTGCTGTGGCAAATACCTGACAGACCAAGGGAAGAGGAGTCTATTTCAGCTCGTATGTTCAAAGGTCTCAGCCCACTGTGGTGGGGAGAGTGTGGTGGAGCGGGGTGGTTCACACCATGGCAGCCAAGAAGCGGGCAGAGAGAGAGAACCCATTCCCTCTCTAGCTTCCTCATTCTCTCGTCCTTTGATTCCACCCAGGCCAGGCCCTGGTCTGTCAGTTGGTGCTTCCCACACTCTGGGCAGGTGCTTTCTCCCTACTTCACCCTCCCTAGAAACAAGAGATACCCCCGCCCCAACCATGCTTTACTGGCCTTCTAGAGGTCCGTCAATCCAATCAGGTTGACATTCAAATCCGTAGCACTGTTCTCCATGCCTCCATGCCTCAAACCCAATGCTGCAGCTCTATTGTTTTATGCTTTCCAAAAGATCAGTCTGGGGCCTGCTCCGGCCCTAGGCTTGGAGAGTTCTGCCCCAACCTAATTTTTCCCCACAAGCCTTGTTATTTTCTAGTGTGTGATTTTGCTGAAGGCAATGTATCACTTTCTGCAGTTGATAGGTAGCAAAATGTCTATGCATTTTATTTCAGGTTGATTAGCATATTGTTTATGTAGTGTAAGTTTTTTTTTAAATTAAGGCACAACTATTTATTTAGAACATTTGCATATGCCAATACAATGATTGTAGGTTGGGTTTTATAACTAAAACATGGCCTCCCAAGAGCTCCAAATGAGTGAGTGCAATGCTGTTCAAAATCATCTTTAATGTGTTTTTCTTTCAGCTTCACAGTCCAAGCATTGTATGAACTACATCACTCGGTTATACTCAGGAGCCAAAACAAAGAGGAAGGAGAATGCGCAGCATTGGAAACTAGAAGGCAAGAACAGTCGTGTCCCAGAGAGTATTGTTTAAGTGTTCCCTGCCACAGAAGACAGGATTTCAGGGCAGCTGGATAAGGCCCTGGAAAGGAGCATAAGTACTGTGGCATGAAAAAAATGTCCATTGAGTACAATTCAGGACAGTGTCCACTGAGCCAGGGCAGCCACATGACGACCAAGCCATGGACAGAAAGCTCCTCATTGAAAGAAAAACATCGAAAGAACCTATTATGACTGACACTACTTCAGAGCTGGAGAACTCTACTAAGTCTTTTGGATCGGGGTCAGTATGACCAGCGCACATCTGACCTCGAAAGGAGCAGTAGGCAGCAGTTTTTAGACATGGGGCTGGTATCAGAGCTGTTTAAATTGGTTTAAAATTTTTCCTTCCGGTCAAGAAGAACTTAAGGATGCAAAGCACCCAAAGAAGACCTGAGATACCAGAAGCCCACTTTCAAGACAGGCTTTCAGAAGGTGCCACATGGGCAACGGGGTGGGGGGATGGGATGTCACAGCATGTGATGGACATGAAGACCCAGACATCTACACACAACTCTCAACACAAGGACTGAACTCAACTGCCAGTTTCTTAGGTTGACTTGCTATCCATGTGCACCAATCTGGCAGACAATTTTTTTAACCTGATTACATCATAACAAAAGCATGTACAGAAAAAAATCATGAGTTTAATTGACAGATTGTTAAACTCATAGTGGTGTTGGAACTTCTTTAATAAAGACCAGAGTGAGTCTTTCTGGAGGTTGTTGTGCTTCTCGATTCTCTGTAAAAATTATTAATAACTCTCTTTTTTAAAAAAAAATCAGTTTAGAGGACATAGCAAACTCTAATGCTCTATGAGGCATTTCTCTTTATTTGGATGTGAGAAAACCCAATTTGAAAGTATCACATGCACACATCCATGCACACAAACATGCGTACACACACCTATATCACGAGTGCGTTATGACAAGGAGCAACTCCTCCTGGTTCTATGCCTCCTGTGATCATGTTTTCACTTAACATTTAGAATATTCTAGCAAAGTGTAAAGGCAGCACAGAGTGCTCACCTCTCTAAAGAGTGAATGGACCTGATGCTCATCAACCCTTACACCCTCTGTATACCTCAACAAAGGCAATCACCTAAGTCAGGAAAGCAGCATGGCTGTCTTTCCACTCGTGGTCCTTGGATGCTGTCATGGTTTGGATGAAAATGGCCTCCATAGACTCACATGTTTTAATGCTAGGTCCCCAGTTAGTAGAAATGTTTGGGAAGGATTAGGAGGTGTGGCCTTGTTGGAGATGTGTCACTGGGAATGGCTTTGAGGTTTCAAAACCCCACATGAGGCCCAGTCTCACTCTGTCTACAGCCTGCAGATCCTGCAGATCAAGATGTAAAGCTCTTAACTACTGCTCCAGGACCATGCCTGTCTCCTTCCCACCATGATGATAATGGACTAACCCTCTAAAACTGTAAGCCAGCCCTCAATTAAAGGCTTTCTTTTTCTAAGAGTGGCCTTGGCCATAATGTCTCTTCACAGCAACAGAACAGTGACTAAGGCAGACACCATTCAAGCCTTCCCAATTGCCCTAACTGTCCTGAGGGCCCCAATTAGATTTTCACTCCATCTTCACTTCTGTTTGTTTGGAATTATTTATCTGTCTGGTTTTTCTTTTCATGGCCTGGGTGTTTGCAGCACAGGTAGTTATTTTATAGAGCAGTCCTCAGCTGGGTGTTGTTCAAGGTTTTTTTATATCGGGTTCAAGTTACACTTTTATTGGACTCTCAAGGGAGCCATTGAGTTTTATTTTCCTGTGTATTATCTATCCCACTTGATTTCTGCTGCTTGATTCCACTTGATTGATTCACATGGTACTTCTGGAGTTCTTCAATGCAAACCTACTCTCTTCTTTAAGTATTTTATGGGGAATTGCTTCAAAACTATGCTAATGTTGTCTTCCTCATTAGACTTTAAAGCTGTTCACTTATTTTCTTAGATCTGCCCTTTCTTAGATCTGGTCTCCCTTGTTATTCATTGGGTTGTTATCTGTGACTACCAAACTGACCCACTGCTAATTTCACAGTCAAACCGTGGACAGCGGCTTCTGTATCCTCCCAGCAGACAGGCATCCATTTTCAGGCACACAGTTCACTTTCTGATACTAGACATTCAAACTCTCCCTGTGCCATCCCTGAAATCAGCAATTCTCTAAGAATTCCTAGTCCTGTTTAGTGGATAGGAAATAGCACAGGGAACAGGAAGAAAGGAAGCTGAGACCAGCTGCCCCTCAGAAATGAGCTTTCTTAGGAGAACGAGCCTTGCAAACAATTGGGGCCAGGTTTGGGCCTTGGGGTAGGGGAACATTCAAAAGAATAGCTTAAAGAGAAGATGGCGGGGGAGGGGGGGGCGCTGAAAGAAGGAGGGAGTGTGCCTTTGGATAAATCACTTGAACAAACTGGATACCTACTTTTTATGCTTTGAAGGGACGGGTGTCAAGTTATTTTATATATATGCATATATGAATATATATTTGGTCTGACACAGTCTACATGACAAGGAGTTAGGTACTGGTTACCACCACGCATTTATCTTGCAGCTTTGAGGGGGATGGGCTGCAAGGCCACAGTGTAGAACAACCTTTTAACTCTGCCCCAGAGAGGCATGGCCTGATTTGGAGGAGCTAGAGAGAGGTTTCAAAGAGAGTCTACAATCTAACAATGGGGGTGGCATTTAGGAGCCAGGATTTGTGATAGCTGTCATCATTGCGTTTGAGGTAATCATCACTGTCAGGTCCTCTCAATGGACAGAACTTTGGACTATTTAAACAGGTGTGTGTGTGTGTGTGTGTGTGTGTGTGTGTGTGTGTGT